TTTATAGATTTTGCGGTAAATTCGCTAATAATACTCGAATTTCAACGAGGCAGCACCCGCACTCTGAAAGCCACCATATGCATATGTGGCCGAGTTTATTAATAATTTACCAGCCAAACCCAATGAGCAGTTAAGAATAATAAAAATCATTTTATATATGATCCATGATTCATGGCCATGACCAGTCTGTGCAGAGACAGGGCTTATATGGCCAGGAATCGTTCAGATGCTAAGATGACTAACTCGCAGGGGGAAAATCATTGGATTGAATTGGTTTGGTTTGGATTCGATTGGATTGGATTGCATCTCGGGGTAATCTGGTGGCGGGTCCAAAAGCGGCTGTGGGTTAAATGGCTTGAGCTGATTGGCCTGGCAATCAACAGATGATCAAAATATATCGGAAGAAGCCATAAAAAGAGATTTTGCAGATTTTGCAAATATGAATTTCAATCGCTGAATCATTAGGCTTTTGGAAACGAACTAAATTGGGCGTTGATTGGGTGTAGGTTCTCAGTTTGTGAAATATTTTTTGTTTTGTTTAGTAAAATGCTTTTTATGATTGTTTTTTATTTAAAATGGAAGATTAGCAGATATATTATGGAGCTTTGCTCTATACGGAAATGAAATGGCTTATACCTCAGATACTTTGGACACTAATTTAAGAGTCAGGACTAATTGAAACTTATATGTATTGAAATTAGAGCCAACCAAGCCCTATTTAAATTTCAATAAAACCCACTCTGATTTCTGTTTACAATTGACTATAACTACTATTTAAATTTCGCATTTTCTGAAGCGAAATTTTTGTATGACAATTTTTTAACAAATCAAAGATTAAAACCCTGATAACTACCCAAAATGGCATTATTTTATTCGGAAAGTTGTTCTGTGCATTTTTTATTAGGGTTAAAAACTGCATACCCAATCTTTCTTTTTTTTTTGAAAAACTGAACATTTTCGTAAAAATTTGAATTCATCCGGAAATAGCTAGAAAGATTCGCCTGTTGATGCTGATCAAGAATATATATGATTTATGGGGTCGGAAATAATTCCTTCACAGTTTAAAAGCTTCTGATTATTATGATAATAACCTGCAAGGTATTAAAGTATCTTGCTTATAAACATAGATTTAATTTAATATTAAATATCCAAACAAGTTCCATTTATTGATACTCCAACTCTCTCTCTGCCTTCATTTGATTTGATTTCCATAGGAAAAACCTATTTGAAAGTTAGAGAAAACTAGTTTTGTTCATTCAAATGAAATCGATTTAATTTCAAACCTTTCTTTTGTTAGAAAATAACATATATAGCCCCAAGTTATTTGAAAACTGAGCAGAGAAATCCCGCTTAATTAAAGCGTACGACGTGTGACTTTTATGGAGCACTTATTCCGGCACATTTGGGATCGGCCCCGTTCTGTTCTGTTCTGTTTGGCACTCGGCTTCGATCGCTATTAAAATCGCATTACCCATCGGCAGAGTAGGAGCGGGAGGTGATGGCAGGACCAGTTTGAGGTCTTCGCTGTGGTCCTGGCACTCCGAACTTGGGCTGGGCCCATCGATGATGATGATGATGATGATGATGGCTAATAGCTTTGTTAGCTTTTGTGCGATTGTGTCTGGCTTGTGACTTTATTATGTCGTTCGGTGCATTCGTCTCTCCAGGTCTCCTCGATTTCCCCGCACACGGAATTGGTTAACTCCGCCTGTTGGCCTGGCCTGGCCCATTGTCTTGGGCAATCGTCAAGTTGGTTTCAGTTTCGGTTTCGGTTTCTGTTTCTGCCAGATGAAATTGTACCAAATACAATCCCCAAAAGTCCCGAAGGCCCCACCGATTTGACAAATGTGCGTTTTTAGCCATCTCATTGTTGTGGCAAACAGACTTCAATATGCAAATACATTGAAATTAGTTGCCAGCCCAGCGATCGGATCCGAATCAGACTCTCTCGACGGGGAGTTGTGTGTTGTGTGTGTTGTGTGTGGCTGTGGAGTTGCTATCACCATCAGAGTCGGAGTCGGAGACGAAGTCGTGTCTTGTAGCTTGACTCGGTGGAATTTGCATGATTTGCCAAAGTCTGTTGGGGCCTTTTTTTGGCGCCGCTTGCGGGGATTACGACTGATCTCTCGGGGGACTTAATGGCCGTAGGCTGGGTTGTAACTGCCAAGCAGGAGGCCCCGGCATTCCGCTGTTAATTGAATTAAGCCAGCGACATGGTCCACTCGGCGAGTAATTGGCAGGACGGACGGGCTTTTAAGTGGAATTCGCGATGGCGCGAGTGCGATAGGGAGCCAGTTTCAGTCGGAGAACAGGGAATAGGGACTGGAACAGGGACTGGCACTGGCTACCTGAGGGTAGGCCTACCTAGGCACATACACCACTACCCATACCTACCGCCGATCATTAGAGGGCTCCGTCTAGACGCCGTCTGCGTGCCATGCGTAACCCTTCTGGGAGCTATAGAACCGGCCCAGAACTTAGAGCCAGAACTCAGCCATCAAAGCCGCAGTTGAGAAGTGCAACGCAACCCCGAGTTCACTTAATTGCCTTGGCCTTGTCGGTTGGGTTGACGCCATGTCGGAACCATTAGAAAGCACACACTGCGCGAAAACTATTGTCATACATTATTTGGTATGTAATTTTGATACTAAAACGATCTTCAAAACATAAACTAGAGGAACCCCGTAAGAGTGGTTTTTGTCTTGCAAAATATGACTTAAGTCCCCGTCTTATCCCCTGGCAACATCCCTTCGATTTTTCTCTCTGTGGAGACGCCTGGCCATAATCACTGGCCGTCGGCCATTTTAATTGGCACGACATCGTCCAGGTCTGTGACTCATGTAATATGCCCTCGGATAAGCAATTACACACATTATGGTCAGAGAGTGGGACCCCAAGATCTTAGGAACTGGACCTCGAATTAAATTCCCGCCCCCTAATTTCCGGCTATTCTTAGCGCCAGAGTCTTTCGTAATGATATTTCTCAACTCATTCACTCAATCGCACATTAACCCGCGCCTGATTTGGCGATTTGGAAATTGCGTACACTGCACAAACACACATGTGGCACCCATCTATCCATCCATAGCCAGGGGCATTCACGAAAACATGAAAATGAACCCACACACCGATAAGCCACGGACTGGCGCAATCCAATTGAAATCGGAACACGAGCCTCGATGCTGGGCCCTTGCAAGAATTAAGAATCAAGAATCGAGAAGAATTTTGAATGGCACTCGAGGAGCTCTTGAATTCTGCGACCGGGGGAATCACGGCGACATTGAAGTTACATAAGTCCGTTTGCTAGCCTTCCCTTCCTGAACACAGAAATTCCTCTTTCGCGGTGATTAATCTCGAGTCTTCGCACTTAATCAAAGTCGCTCAACAAAGAATTAATTCCCAGAAAAGTGGGGTATATGGTAGGTAAATACTGTATACTACATATAATAATAAATAGTTGTGATTTACATTGTCCTTGTCAACGGCGAGTCGCTTGACAAATTGCAGCTAATCATCGGGAGCGGAAACGGCAGCACTAAAATCGAACCGATCGTCACGTAGGCGATCGTTGCATTTGTTTTTTTTTTTGCTCATGAGTATGTGTATGTTGTGTTATCAATTGCAGAAATTAACATATTATTCATGGTACTATATAGTCTTATATATGAATGATGAGCTTAGGCCTTATCAGTTCAGCGGGGAGTACCGATTGGGGACTAGAAGTTGTTTAGAAGAGTCCTAAGTTATTTAAAGATTAATATTTATAGTTTTTTTATTAATATTTCCTGTGATTTCCCTTACAAAATCTCTTAAATACCTAGACAGGACTACTCTCTACATAGAGGGTACTCCCTGTTCCATCACTTTCACCGGCCATTGACACTTGTCCGTATGCCGGTGACATTTGTTAGGTCAAGCACCGATTTGGGCCCTCGAATCTCTCTTTCCCATATATACCATATATAGATGTGTATTCTCTCCCGATTGCCGATCGATGATCGCCGCTGGGTGTGTCACACGATCTCCGGAGTGGGAATGGGAACGGGAACGGGATCCGAGTCGAACCAAGCCAAGTCGGGTCTTGGGATTACGCAGGGGATTGGGATTAGCGCTTAGTGATTCACTGAGATTCGTATCCGCATTTGGTGAATTGCGATTGGTTCGGCGTTTGGTTGGCGCCACTTTGAAGCAGCGGCTAGAAATCAATAAAAAATAGTCAAAACACAAAAAAAAATAACAGAAAAGCCAAGCCGGTGGAGAAGTTGCGAGACAACAGATCTTTGGCGAATTTGTTCGTGCTTGTCCAAGACAAATAATAAAATATTATGCGCCATCGAAATTAATTATAACTCAAACAAGCATTACAATATTCCCTGGCTGGCGCCAGCCCCGTCAAAGATCATTAACATTTTTATGATCCGCCAGACGAGAGCGGCGAACAAAGAGCCACCACACATAAGGCCCATATCTGTTGTTACCTGTTACCAATACCAATACCAATACCAAACACGCACCCGGCCAAGAGTATATCCGAGTACGCGCCCATAAATCGCAAAACTAATAATGTCCAGGTTGTCTTAACACCTCTCTGTCGGCTCTGTCGGCCAAGATGATTCGCAGAATTCGAGGGCTGGCGAAAGGAACCCAAAACCGAACCGAACCGATCCGAACCGAATCCCATATCTCATTTAAAGAGGAGTCGTAAAACCCAAAAACGAAATGATTTACTGAACATGGACGGAAAATTCTCCCTCTCTTAATGCGGCAAGTGCAAAGTCTCTGGGTCAGATTCAGAATCAGAATCAGAACCCAAACAGACACACACACGCTCGGTTCTATATTTAATTTGAACAACAAAGTTGTAGGTACAAATTGGTACGAGACACCTGCAGAATATCCAAACAAATATCTATTTTCGACCGCTCTCTGTTATTTTTAAACTAACCGGCTTGATCGTGATCTTTCTCCACCAAACACAATTTCTTTCCAGTCATAATTCACGCTAGCCGCGCACGCAGCCACAGAAAAAAACAACAGGCATTTATCGGGAAAATTTGTGCTGAGGAAAAACTAATAGAGATTTCCGCGAACATCGACCGTCTGTGAAAATGTGTTGCCAATCAAGCGGCCAGGGGAAATCTTCTGCGCAGTCTTCTTCAAGTGGACAGCAGCCACGGGAACCATCTGCCAAGTCATCATCATCGTCATCATCATTGTCGTCACCAGCAGTAAAAGCAGGAACATATAGCCGATATAGACACATCCCGGGACCGATCCTTGTGCTGATCCTGCTGGGCCTGATCCAAATCCAAATACAGGTAGTCGCCGCCGGATTGGGCCAAAGTCTTCACGGTGAGTTACCATAAATGGATCGATCGATCTATAAATATTAATACAATAATTTGCAAGTGCTCACTTCTCAGGCTCTTGAGATACTTAAGAGATCACTTAGGTTTATTTTTAAGTAGTAACAATAAACGTTCTTTGGTCAAGTAGCCCAGAAATAGAATTTTAACCCAGCTCTAGAAATTGTTTATTTAAAAATAGGTATTTTTTGTACACCCTTGCAGTGTATTATAACTTCAGTCAGAAGCTTGTAACTCAGTCAAGGAGTCATTTCCGACCTATAAACAATATATACTCTTAATCAGCATCAACAGTCGAGTCGATCTACCATGTCCGGTAAAAAATATATTTTTCGAAATAAAAAAAGGTTGTTACATCGTTAAAATTTTCAGAAATCGACATAATTTAGCATTTTAAATTGAGTATTTTTTATTGATTTATTTTGATTTATTTTTATTTAGCATAGGAAAGGTTTCCAAATGAAATTAAGGCGTTTTTAAAAAATAGAATATTTTGAACTTATTATGTTCGATTTCATATATCACTTGCATCTTTGGCATGCCGAAGTAAGTTTCCATAGTTTTGATGCTTTAGATACTTATGGTTCTTTGCTTACATTTCGATTAAAAACTAGTAATTCAAAGAACACCTTAATTAATTAAGAGATATAGCTCTCAAATCCGTAGGGTCATGCCCATAAATTCTCATTGATCCGTCTCTTTCTCATAAAAACATTGATTACCTCATTAATAATATTTTTACGATCCAACTGAAATCATTTGAGGACTATTTCTAATATCATAATTATTTTATCACTTTTTTGGCCATAAATTTTGTTTCCAATCCGATCGTTAAACTTTCATCTAACCTTGATGAAGATCAACATTCTTAGAGAGTTGAAAACTAATAATAACCCCAAAAATATAACCCATCTAAGCAGCTTGCCGGATTTCATTATGGACTTATGACCATGAATCATGGATTTTAGCTGATTTTTACGAGCTTATAACAGCTGCATAGAATGGATTTAGGAGCGGGGTTAAAGCCATTTCGATCACTTTTCCACGTAACTATATTATTTTGCGATTGTCAACTGAGTCAGCATCCGACTTTTAAGAGTATTGTTATAGGTGCACTCGTTAACCTTTACGGCTTTACTATTTATGCAAATCAACTTACTGTGCACTAAAAGTACTATATAGATTTATAGAATAAAGTTTAAAAATCATTTAATTTCATTATTATTTGATTTCATTTATTTTTGTGTATTTCAAACTTAACTAGAGAAGTGAAAGTAAGAACTTTATATGCAATTCAAACAAACTCTTAATTTGGAATAAAATAAATGAAATGTGCTTGCAATATATACAATTATGTAAACCTTAAAATGTTAATTATTTAATTTAAAGAACTGTAAAATGAACATTGTTTCTAGCGTTTCCCTTTTTGTTTATAAATCTACAAAGCCAGATAATAGTTGTATAATATTTTCAAGTATTAAGTACCGCTCTCCACTGTTGTTAGGCGTCCGTCCGTGTCCGTTCCAAACACGTGCCGTCGCAGCTCCTCAGCTCCCCGGCTCTGGCCCACCTCTGACCCACCGCTGACCCCCCGCTTAATCCCCTCCTTCCGCTCCGTTGGCCGGCGCTTAATCTGCGACTGTGATTAATCGGCGAACGTCGCCGACGCCAGCGGTTGAGGGGAGAGGTACGAAATCGGAGGGGGGGGAGTCTGCTATATAGAGACTATATAGTGGCTACTGACTGAGCATTTCAAGCTTTGTCTCTGTCTCGGGCCTTCTTTTTTTATTATTTCGTCTGGGCTTCTCTAAAAAAAACATACTGAGTGGGATTTTTTTATGGATTTTCGAGTGTGTTAAATGAAAATAAAAATCGCATAAATTAGATATATTGCAATGCCGATATCGGGTTACTTGAACCCCAGTTCATTAAGTGTTCTAGTCGAAAAGAGAAAGGCGGCGCGCTTCGAAAACAACAAATTTCATTCTTTTTGTGGAGGGGAAATTTCCATTTGATTTAGGAGTTTTTGTGAAGAAGAGGAGCTTGTTTTAGGGAAAACCCAGCAGGACACAATCGCATAACAGGAAAGACTCGACCAAGAACAACAATCATCCGAGGTCCCGGGATCAAAGAATAAAGCGAACCAAAAACAAACAAGCGACCAAATTACACAGATTGTTTCTGGAAGGGGAAAAGCTGGGGAGCCGGAGCTGGAGCTAGATGTGGAGATGGAGATGGAGAGAGATCAAGTAGGAGGAACCAACGATAATAATGCTGAATAAAACAAAGTCCTAAAGCCGCCCACGGAGATCAGAGCAAGAGGAAGATGATGTTGAAGAACGAAAAGGTAGTTCCAATGCATCACATTCTTAGCTCTTGACTTATTCAGCTACACTGCGATATTATTTTGCTGAAAACTTAAGTCCATTGCCATAATGCTGATCATTTTTTAACGACATAATTTAGTAATTTATGACGTTTTTCTGACTGTCAACTTATGTTGCATTTAAGCCACGAGCTTATATAGTTTGTAAAGAATTTAATATCTTTGGAATGTTTTTAAATATATAAAAATGTTCTTAGATATAGTTTTTTTAAAAATAATTATTTAATAACTTCTAAATTTCGAAATTTTTTGTGTAGCGCCGGCGTCTTCATTTATCGCCGAAACAGCGGGTGAAAGAGCATGGGGATTGGGGCGCGTGTCTGTCTGACTGTCTGTCTGTGTGTGTATGTGTGTTTATCAGCACATTGCAGGTGGTCCTCTTTCTCTCTTTTCTTTTGCTTTGAGAAGAAGAAGACTGAAGTGAGCCTGTTGGGGTCGTGGTTCGCCCTGTCCCGGTCCCACTGCCACCCCACCTCGATCATTGTTTGTACCTGTCTCCCTCACCGTTTCCGTTTGCCTTTTGGTCTGCTGCTGTTCCCTGGTTGTTGTTGTTGCAATGGCTTTTGTGTTGCAGTTGCTGCTATTGTTGTTGTTGTTGTTCCTGCTGTTGTTGGGGAACATGTTTAACATGCAATGCTTGGCTACTTTTGACTTAAGCGCCAGCAGCGACGTCGAGAGCGACTGAGGAAAAGGTAAAAACAAATAAAGAAGCAGCAACAAAAACAAGTCGAGGAAGAAGAGTACTTACACGAAAGAAACAAAAGCATATCTACAAAGAGTTAGAAAACAAACATTGAACATTTTAATAACTCAGTCAAAAATTAATTAATTTTCAATCTGAAAGTTGTTCTTGTTAGTTTTTATTAGGTTAATGAATCTGCATACACCGTTTTTAATTAAAAAAATTTAATTTTGCCAATTTTTTAAATTTTCAAATTATATTATAATTTTCGAAATATTTTTTTACCTGACATGGCTAGATCGACTCTCCGATGCTGATCAAGAATATATATGGTTATGGGGTCGGAATGATTATTTACCTCGCTACAACTTAACATATAAATTATAATTATTGCAAGGGTATGAAAAATAGTCTTCGATTTAAAAGACATTTAGCAGTCTTGGCGTATACTTAACGTAATAACGCTGAAATTAAGTATACGACATGTGTGTGTTTTAAATTTATAAAGATAAGTTGTTCCAGTTAAAATGCAAGTTGAGCAATTAAATTATACGATCGAAACAGAAATCGATCAAAACTAAGATTGAAATATCGATCTTAATAAATATTTTTACATTAATATGTTTTCAACAAATCAAAGTTAAAAAACTCATAACTAACCCATAACATTTTAATTCGGATTGTTTTACTGAACTCCTATTCATTCTAAAGTTATTATATAAGAATTTTTCTCTGTGCACATTATACACACATTCCCATTGATATAGTGGCCTAATCTCATTGACCTGTGGAATGAAGATCAGCTGCATAAGAACGGGGGAGTTGGGGTTGGACCTGGGTTGGGTTCGGAGGCATTGGGATTGGAGGAGTCCATTTTGGGTCACGTGCTTGGATAAGATCTCAGTCGGTGGCAATTTCCGGCGTTTGTACATGCCATGAATCGTCTTGTTTGTATTTGTTTGGTATTATTGCGTCAAGAGTCAACGTCAGGGGCAGGAAATGCAGTGGGTGGGGATTATCTGTGAGGGAAGGGGATTAACATTACCACCGACCGATAAGCACTATATCACTAATCCGTACTTTCCCTACTTACAGGCTGGAGGATATCGTGCTCCAACGAGGGCGAAGAAGTCAAACTGGACCAGTTCAATTGCTACAACTGCGAGTGCAAGGTGAGTTTTAATAAAGAAAAACGCTTTAATTTGTAGATAGTATCTCGAAGATACTCCCCTCCACACACGACACAGTCAGCTCTGTTTTTTAAGGCTCCACAGATCCTTGCCAAGTTTGCGAGTGGAGCTCGCCTTTTGGCCTCGATAAAAGTCACTTAAAGCGAAATGAAACGAAATGAAATAACATAAACATGCTCGCTGAAATAAATCTCTTGTACTCGGCTTCCTTCCTTCCTCCTCCTGTCAGACCCGAACCACTCCTGCTCCCGCCCTAGTGTTCATCTTGCTCTCAGCATGGGACGACGCCATTGTCCAGCCAGCAGGACATTCAGAATCTCGTGTCATTGCAGTCACTACTTCCTTAGCGGCCTGCCAAAATGAAAAATACCGAAAATGTGTAGAATATTTCACCAAGAAATAACCAGCCAACACACTCATAAGGTCAAACACTTTTTTGTACTACCGTTAGAATACATGCAGAGAAATGTATTACCAATATTGTTAATAGGAATTGAAAGTGTAGTTAAATATACCAAAATAGTAGAAAATTATAGAAATATTCCGTACCTTGCAGATATAAAGACCTCATGTTAAATGACAAATGCACAAGAAAATGTTGCCAAGCCAATGTTGCTACGCACACAACAACACACTTGTAAAATAAATCAAATTTTCGCTCTGTGCAGTATAAAAAAAAAAAAAGTTTTTTGCCGGATTTAAAATGTTTGAGTTTGTTTGCATTTGTTTGGCTTCAGCCTCTTCCTCTTCTTCCTCTTGCCAGCCCACATTCCCCCGCTGCCTCTTACTCCATCCTCTATCTCTCTCTTTCGGTCTCCCGGAGGCCATCCCTGTCCCTCTCTGGTGAATTTTTATGATCCAAGGTCGTCAAACGAGTTTCGCGCAGTGTGGGTCGCTCCGTGGTATTGGTGTGTGGCGGTGTGTTGGCAAGGGTATTCGGTTCGGTGTTGGATCGATCTCTATATGTATAGCGATAGTCGCCGATCGTTTGACAAACACTTGGCGCCGCCGCTGTGATTTTTCGTCGCCAGCTACCAGGCGACAGCCCCTCTCTTTCACTGTCGTCTCCACCGCCCCACAACCCTTCCGCTCTCACCCACCTGCTCTGACAGCTTCGTGTCGTCATTAAGCTAGCGCGTGCTCAGCTGGCTGATCGTTGGAGTGAGTGGGATGGATGGGGGATTGGCGATAGGGACAGGTGATGCTGCGACAGGGTTGTCAAGACACTTGGAAATAAATCACTGGTGTTTCGATTTAATTTGTTATGTATTTATGGGTTTTAGTGATAAGATTTAAAGCTTGATTTTGTTGTACTTCTATTTTTTTAATAACAATTCATAATATTTAAAGTCACTTTTGAGCCAGTATAACATTACACATCTTATATTAAACTATGTTTGGCTTCACTATTTTTTCAAGTTTTTAGGATAGGTCTAATTTTAAATCGATGCCAAGCTGGCAGTATGATTTTAGACTGAAAAAGGTGAACATTTAAAAATTTATCTATAGATTATAGATATGTACATAAATAATTTATTAATCTGACCATTTGGAGATACTCAAATATTAGCAATTGAATCTTCATAAATAATATTATAATATAATCATTGTAATATATAGCTTAATATCAATCGATGGCTAACTATGGTTTAGTTGGCAACTGTTATCTAGAAATAATTTCGTTTCACAGAATCACCTCATAATTTCCCCCAGTGTAGCTGTCGTGAGCCTGTTGCTAATTTAGCGCTAAGCGCTGCTAAACGCCGCTGCTCCAATTTGAGCGGCAAGCGATCGAGCTGGCGCCGATCGAGCCATCGAGCGATCCGATCCAAGCGATCGAACCGATCGATCGATCGCAGAATCTTATTTTCGCCTGCGGCTGAGCTTCATTTTGCGGCGAGACGCGTCGCGTCGCGTCGCATCGTTGTTATTATTATTTCCATTGTTGCTGCTGCTGCTGTCGTCGTCGTCGTCAAGTGGGCGTAACCAAAATTAAAAAGCAGCAGCAAAATCGCAAAAAAATATAGAAAAAAGAATACGATACTGGCGCCACCTCACTGGGAAGGCGCCGTGGCTATATCTGTCTCTTTCCGCGTTGCTATCCCCGCCTCTTTCGCTCGTTGAAATCATTAAAAGTTCATGAAATCGAATTTAACCCGATGCGATTTCTCTTAATTTCGCTCTTTAGACAAAATACCGCCAAAAATATACAAATTCCTCAATGGAACGTGCAAGACGTTAAGGCCATAAGCGGAGCTTAAATCCATATATTTATCATTTTATAATTAATATAAAATAATGCAAATTTTTGACAAATTTGTAATCTTTAAGCGATCGTAATCGGAATGAACTTATATCTGTCAAACCAAATCCTAAATGAATGAAAAAAATTGCTTGATTTTAATTTAAACTTTAAAAAGTAATCATTTTTGATGCTTATTTGGTTAATATAAAACAGATAATACTTGTTATTTAAATTGACATTTAAGTGTAAGCTTTAAGCTATGTTATGTTTAGCCTTTAAAATCTTTACAAATGTAGCAAATACGTTTATCTTAAAAATGCTTTCCTTTAATCCATGTAAAACTCTGTATTACTGATTAGATGTCATACAAAATTATTGAATTTTTCCAGTTTGTATTCATTTTCATTCCTTCAATATATTCAATCCATTCAGTTTTTCGGTTACTCGAGAGAGGTTATCGGCAGGCAGTCAGTACTTGCTTCAATGAGTTTCTCGTACTGTGTGTAACTCTCACATTATTCCCACCCATTTAAGTCGAAAGTTTACGACTGGCGTTTATTGTATGAAATATATTTAATATACGGGGAGTATGCAGAGCGACGAAGCTTTATATACATAAACATACATATTTGCTGTGTGGTGGAAAATCGTCAAGGACAGAGCCAGGAAAATGGGTAACTACCACACCCTTGAGATAACTACAAATTTTCGGTTTTATGTGAATATTATGCTGAATCCGCTGAAATTTCTTCTAATGGTTTATGATTTAAACGGTTCTCGGGATGTTTTCCCCGAATGATTGAGCCGGACTTTTATGTCTGAAATGTATATTTTGCAAATGAAATTTGTTCGTTGGAAATGGGTAAACATGTGATTAGAGGATACAACAGCAGCGGATGATTGATAAATATTAACAAGGAACTTGGAATTAATATTAATAAGATTTTATTTCAGTTGCTACAGGATGAGAGGTAAATGGAAAGTGACTTGCTCATACTACTATATCTACTTAGCCATGCCAAATTAATATTAATGAAGGATTTACGATCGCCCAGGGGCAAATCAGCAAATTGATATCATTAAAGATCTTTAAGTGTGCATAACTTTTGACTAAATAAATTCACTTTTTGCGAATATGGAATTCTAGAGCAACGGGCAAACCAGATTTGGCCAAATATTTTCATACAGGTCTGCCAACTCCTTTCCTGCAAAATTCTTGGGCATTCCATTCTAAACCATATAGCGATTCTGATTCTGACTCTTTCGATTCCAATTCCGATTTCGATTCCAATTTGAGCCGTAACCCACAAGTGACAAAATACACATGACCATAAAACCACAAGACTGTCATTACCATATTCACTTCGTGTCTAGAGCGACAGACTCCAGCCAACCTGGCCAAGTTAACTCCGAGTTAGTATGCACAGTAAGAAAATCTTAGGGGTTTTAATATGACATATGGACATAAGTAATAGTAGGCAAGATAGATAGTAGGATGCAACTTTGTTCCTAATAACTCTCATTGTTGTATAACTTTAAGATAACTTCGAACCAAGCCAAGTTATTGTATATACGTATCTTATTTTTAATGCTGGGAACTTAAGCAGAATGTCCAACATTCCTTATCTAACACAACTGTACAATATTGCTTATATTTCTTAATAATAATATATCAATATATCTTAATTGGTATCCCCTTTTATTTATCAGTGTGGAGATGGCCAATAGAGCGAGTTGGCCGAAAGAGAGACGCAGACGGAGACGGTGTTAAAACTGATCATGTTTTGTCAAACGCAAGGTCGTTAGAGGCCGTTTGCAAATGTGGTTCTGCCACTGTGGCACACATAGATACACAAATACACTCTCGACTTATGGTTTTTGTTGTTGTTGTTTTGGTAAACTGCCGGCGGGCAAGAACCACAACAACACTCGGCCAGAAATGCTACTTAGCAGCTCAGGTTGCCATCGTGGCGCCTTCAGCCATCTCTTTTCTCTCTTTGAGTTTTGGTATTAAGTTGGCTTTTGCTTCGGTTTGGTAGGAATTGGCTTTGGCTTTGGCAATCTCTAGCAGAATGCCTCTCAACTTTCATGTTGGCTGGAATAGCACATTTTTCCATACCGGTTCCCGCGATTAAATAGAAAAGAAAGAATTCCGCAGCATAAACAGCTGGCTAGAAGTTGTTGGCCAACACCGCCGAGTTGAGATTTGTGGTGGTTGGATTGCGATTGTGACCGGATTTCGAGAACATGTGAACTTTGATCTGTCAGAAATGGCGAGCGATTAGAGTGATATTCCATCTTTGTCAGCTTATTGCAGTTTACAATTGTTGCACTGAGAAAAATAGGGGTTTTCATAAGAGTTTTGTAAAGCCTTTTAAATTGATTAAGAGATTTATAAACTCTGTAAAGGAAAGAATATATCCTGCTTATACACGATTAGAAAACTGGCTTATTTAGTATTGAAATATATTTAATTAACAATTTATGCTTACCCTTTTGAATACAGATTGTGTTCTGATGTTCTGAAAATTAGATTTCAAATTAGATTTCTCCAGAGATTCCCTAGACACCTGAAAATGAAATCCCCCATATTTTGTCCGTGTAAAAATCGGAGGGCACCTGGAGGGGGAGTTACGACAAAGTCGTACTAAAGTGCCATTAAAATTCCAACTAACAACTGCCATTAAAACTAATACGATGATAAACATCTCGGTGCCTGGGACCCGAGACTATGCGACTCTGCGCGACTCTGGGACTCGGAGATCTAGAGATTTTCATTTTCATAACAATTGCAAATTTTGCACGTTGCGGCCCCATCCAAATTGAGATCCAATCTGGTTTGCTTGCACTAAATTATACACACACACCACACAGGTAGGAGGTACGGTAGATACTCATACTCGTACTCTGTACTCGATACTCACATTGTTCATAGCAACTGCATACAAATTAGTGAAATATTTTGCCTGTTTTTGGTCGACATCTATCTAGATTTATAGATACATTTACAATTAGTGGCGGCTGGCTCCGCGTCCGACTGCGGGGCTCTATTATTCGCTCGTTCTGAATCTGAATCTGAAACTGAGTTTGAATCTGGCTTTAACCTGTCATTGCCGGCAGCTGGTGTATATCGCACACTGCACTCTCTCAAGGGTTAAAGGCAATAGGCGATATTGCACAAGCCGCCAGTTTTGCCACAATTTGACTTATGATCGACATCAATTCTAATGCGCCCCGCTGCAGCTGTCAGCGTGTCGTTAACAGCCAAATGGCTAGAAAATCCAGATGCATAGATACCTGTATACAGGTAGGTATATCTCAGCATATATACATATATGGAGTATATAGATATATATGTACGTAGGTGGGCAGGCAATCAGCGGAGGGATCAACTAACGAGATACGAGCACAGGGGAATTTTAAGGATAAATTATTGCAGCATAAATTACCAGACTTTGCATAATCCCAGGTGATTTTTCCCTACAGCCAACCAGACCAACTTAATTGCACAGAGAAAAAAACAATGCCATTAATGGAATTTAATTAAGTGTGGTTACATTTCTTATTAACATCTAGATATATAAAGAAGTTATTAAGGCAAAGAAAATCCTAATGGAGTTGGTTTATATTCTAAGATTAAATCAATCTAATTTTTATACACATTTTTGCATACCATTTTTAGTTCTAAATTTCTCTCAGTGCATCTAACCCCAAATGAAACAAAAGTCAAAGCAATTGCCACGCCGAAACTAAATTACTCTGAAGGTTAGAGGGCAGAACTTCATTGAGCAATTGCAATTGAAATCCATAAATCAGGTGGAAAACTGGCCAAGGAGTGTGTATGTGGTGGGGGTGGGGGGATGTGAGGGGAATGGAATGGGGATGTACTCCACTCTGTACTGACCATAGTGCACAGCCACAAATCATTGGCTCAGCGGCTCAGTGACAGCCATCTTTCACATCGCTAAGCGCATTTGTGCAAATTGCGCATACGCCACATGGGCCTGCTGTGAGATAAGACTAATTTATTGTTTGTGTTTTTATTTGTAATTTTTATTTACAGAATGGTTTCGTAAACTGCCGGAATACCTGTCCGCCCATCGATGATTGTTATATTCAAGAGAAGCCAGAGAACTCCTGTTGCAGCAAGTGCAAGGGTAAGTTCAAAGGATACAAGAAGATGTTTGAGAAATTACAAAACAATTAATTTGTTTTTCTTGGTCAAGATCTTGACTTAAATAATATTCAATACTGTTTTATTGATTTCGAAATTTTAATATTCGACAGGTTGCATTTTCCGCGGAGTTCCCTACGAAAGCGGAGCAGAGTGGAGCGATCCGGAGGATCCTTGCAGGACATACAAGTGCATGGCAACTGTGGTTACGGAAACGGTGCAGAAATGCTACTCACAGTGCGATGACAACCAGCTGCAGCCACCTCGCCCCGGTGAATGCTGTCCCACCTGCCAGGGTGAGCATTGTTACCATTCAAACTGATATTACCTCAATCAAATCCAGTCCAAGTCAAATACCAAGACCAAGACCAGTCCCCAGTAGCATCAGTCACTAAAATTAGCCAGAGACACACCGCTAATGCCTCATAATCGTTAGACAAAAGAAGATGATTTAACCAGAAAAATAATGCCCTACGAAAGGGTATTACGCATAGCAGAGACTGTTAGGCAATTACAAAGAAATATATATATGTATAAATTTAAAAATCATAAATGAGGGCTAAACATTGCCCAACTCAAAGTAGATCATCTGAGATAAGGTCCCAGCATTTTTTATGATTTCGCTTTTATTTTTTATGTCTCTATCAACCCCAAAAATGATTTATTCATGGGACATTCCGATATCCCAATATTCCGATGCTCAGGCTCCGCTGATCCACTGATCCGCTGCGATCTGTTTTGATCTGTTCTCTGTTTTTGTTGGCCCCGCTTATTTATGGGCTTTAAATTGTCTATTAAGGCGACAATGTCGCCCCGCATATTCCAATATTATTCGCATTGCGTTGAGAAAACCAAAGAAAACAAAGCAAAGCAAAGCATAGCATCGAAGCCACAAAATCTGGGGCCGTCCTATGACGCTGCCCCTATGCAAATAGCGCCGCTTGGAAACTTGTTTCGCCTTGTGGAAAATTTCTTGGCCCGCCGCCAAGCAAATCAAACTAAGCAACTAAATCATAAGTGTCTAATGTTGGGGATTTCGTTGGCAGGTTGCAAGATCAATGGACAGACGGTGGCCGAGGGCCAGGAGGTCGACGCCTCCATCGATGACCGATGCCTGGTGTGTCAGTGTTCCTCCAATCAGCTGACCTGCTCCAAGAAGACCTGCCCCGTCCTACCATGTCCCATGTCAAGCAGATCAAGCGACCGGACGAATGCTGTCCCAGGTGTGCCCAGCATCAGGGATTTATGTCGGTTCCAGGTGAGTGAATACCACTTAAATATATTTTAATTACTTTATAATTGAAATATAAACACCTTCATTAAATAACTTCTTTGAAAATCACCCTATTCCCAGGCAAATGCTTCTTCAACAACAAGGTCTATCCCGAGAAGACGCAGTTCATGCCGGACAGATGCACCAATTGCACTTGCCTCAATAGCACTGCCATGTGCCAGAGGGCCACCTGCCCCATCCTGGAGTGTGCCCCCGAGTTTCAAGAGTTCCAGGATGGCTGTTGTCCTCGCTGTGCAGTCGCCGAGGTGCGAAGCGAGTGTAGTGTGAAGGGTGTGACCTATCAGAACAATGAGACCTGGGACATGGGTCCCTGCCGGAGCTGTCGTTGCAATGGTGGCACCATTCGCTGCTCCCAGATGCGCTGTCCACCGGTCAAGTGTCGGGCGAATGAGGAACTGAAGCTGCCGCCTGGAGAGTGCTGTCAGCGATGTGTGGAGACCGCGGGGACCTGCACTGTCTTTGGGGATCCCCATTTCCGCACCTTTGATGGCAAGTTCTTCAGCTTTCAGGGCAGCTGTAAGTACCTTCTGGCCAAAGATTGTCTGGGACACACCTTTGAGATTCGGCTGACGAACGAGGGACGAGGCACGCGGCATGCCAGCTGGGCCAAGACCGTGACCCTGAAGCTGCACAATCTGCGCGTGAATCTTGGCCAGAAGCTGAGGATTAAGGTGAATGGGACGAGGGTCCTGTTGCCCTACGTGGGCTCGGCCGGTGGTCGGAATGTAACCATCGAGAGCTGTCCGATGGCGGAGCAGTGATGCTAAGATCAGAGATGGGCCTGTCCCTGGAATGGGATGGTGGTGGCTTCCTGCAGGTCTCTGTGCCGGCCAAGTTCAAGAAGCGATTGTGCGGCCTTTGTGGCAACTTCAATGGCAGTGCAGGGATGATCTCACGGGCAAGGATGGCGGAACCATGTCGACGAGGAGGTTTGGCACTTTGCCAACTCGTGGCGCGTGGGTGGACCCAAGTCGTGCTCCCGGAAGCGCGAAATCCTGGCGGCATGCCCACCTGCGACAAGCGCAAGTCCAGCTTCTACTGCCATCCGCTGAGCGTGTCAGCGCTGTTCGGTGAGTGCAACGAGCGTCTGAATCCGGAGAACTATATAGCCGCCTGCCGGATGGATGTCTGTGAGTGTCCCTCCGGGCCTGCCACTGCGACAGCTTTGCGGCATATGCCCACGAGTGCCGGCGCTTGGGCGTCCAGCTGCCAGACTGGCGGACAGCCACCAATTGTCCGGCGGGATGGCGACGCAATGCCACATTGTCCAACTTCCTGCGCAATGAGTTCTACGGCGACTCTAGCTTCCGAGAGGTCGCAAGCGGAAGAACCACCAGCTGCAGCTGCAGCAGCACAAGCTAAACCGCCACCACAGGCTCGGCACCAGCCACAACCAGCTGGAGAAGCCGGGACAGGCTTCCAATCCCAAGGATCGGGAGAGGCAGCGGGACGAGGACTTCATTGCGAAACATGTGCCCAGCGGCTTGCTCTTTCCACGTGCGCCGGATCGCACGCCGCCGCCCCTGCATTAAGCAGGGGACGAGGGAGGGGAACAAGCGTCTAAGTTTAGTTACTCATTTAGTTACTGCATCCATCCGCATTCACACACACAAGCACAAGAAAGGGCCACTATTCATAGCATACTTTTGGCGGCCCAGCAAGTGAGAGGTATTCGAGGGATTCCCGGGAAATACCTGATAATAGTGGAATTTGCATGATTTTTCCCAAAAGAATTAAGAGAAAATCAAGAAAATTTATTATTAATACACTAGAAGTGTGAAAATTAAAAAAAATTAATGATAAACCATTATCATCAGGGGAATCCCTCTAACCTAGAAATCGTAGTTGAATTCGCTTCCATGACAGCCAGGCAACAGTATTAAGCTGAACGGTCCTCTGGAGTAGATAGATATATATCGGAATACTATATATATATACACATATACATTCATACCACACATCATCCATCCTATCGCCATTTCTCGTGTAGCCTAAGTTTTATTTATTTTAGTTTTAGTAAACAAAAAGGAGTTTTTATTCGGAGAGCCTGTTGTTTGTGTGCCTGTTTTATATTTGTATTCCTGTATGTGTGTTTTTATCGTCGCTAAAAACTAAAACTAAACACTATAAACGATAAATAATAACTAAGCCTTAGCTAAGTGTACTTAGAACTAAACGCAATCCTAGCTGAAATACTTGATAATGTTTGCTTAAAATTTAAGCTCTAGCGAGAAGGAGGAGGAACGAACCTACCCAACAACTACTATAAACTATATACTATAAACTATATACTATATATGAGAATTGCACAAACAGTATTTTTTTGCTTAGTTGAAACTTGTAAAACCAACACGCTCCCCAACTCAACTACAAGCTCCTGCTCCTACTCAAAACAAAAACAAAAAAAGAAAACTCTAACCAACTCGAAATTCCGCTTATCTCAAATGGGGGAAATGCAGGTCCCTGCAAAAGAATTAACCAACTTTTAGCCCAAAAACTGTGTTAGTATTTATACAACTACAACTACTACTACTATCGACAATTATTTATGCACTTAACCGGAGGAAAACAATGAGGGAATGATAACCACAAAAATCTTTGCCATTTTTCAAGTTTACAAATTAATCGAGTTTAATGTTAATGTAATGTACGATAATTAATTATCTCTTTATATATTATACTATAACGTACTACTACTTGTATGGCTGGATCTGTAAATTTACAAGAAATATACTTGAGAAAATCCAAAAAACAAAAATACAATAAAACAAAAACAAAACAAAAATAATAAACGAATGAAGAAAAGAACTAAAAACAAAACAAAAAACAATGCCACACACAATGCAAGTGGATCAAATGAAATTTAAATATATGAAAAAACATTTAAAGAATGGTGTTTATATATTTGGGGAAAGGATCAGGGTTTCAAGAGTTTTATAATATTTTAATGTATTTAATCAAAATGGAAGAGGGATAAATCTCTTAAGAGATTGTTTGTTCTTTACAAGATGGGTTAATTAATTCTCCAAATTATTGAGTAGTAAATATAGTTCTTAACTAAAGATTCAAGTTTTTACGGCCTCTGAAAGGCCTTTGGCAAAATCACGCTTAAGCCATTAAGCTGAGACTGCAGCTGACCGGGACTTTATTTCCTCCCATTCTAGAAATAAACAAAACGAAAACACAATCTGTAAGATCCCCCAGAATACTTGTGTTTATTGTTGTTCATTCGTTCGTGTGTGGCATCAGTTTCAGAGGCACGAACTCCGATTCCAGCTCTCAATGACTACGACGACACAGCGTCTGGGGTGGACTCTTGACTCCCGACTCCAGACTTCAGACTCTCGACTCCAGGAAGGAAGTGAAAAGCATGGAGAGTGGAGTGCAAAGCCAAGGGCCACTCCAGAGTCCGAGTTCAGTCTGGCTGGCGTCGAATTACGGGGCATGGCCATTAGCCATTAGCCAGTTGCCAGTTGCCAATTTATGCATGTTTGCTTAGCAATAATTGTCAGCGATCTCTAGGGTCGATATCCCAGTCTCATCCCCAGTCCCCTGCCAATCCAATCCGAAACCGATTCCCAGGGCAAGTTTGTCTGTAATTCGAATCGGACTTGCTGCTTGCCACAAGCTGGGGGCACAACTTGGAGAATTCCAAGAACGAGGCAAGCGCTCGTAAATTCAAGCGATCCGATCACCGATCGCCAACGATTTAGAGGAAAACACAAATCTGGACTGGGGACCGATCATGGCGGCCCATTGAGGAAAGCAGGATGCACTGAGAGAAAAGGAGTGAATATTCTAAGTGATTGGGTTAAAGAAGAGTGGGAAAATAAATGTTTTTATGTGGATAAGGAAATTGATTGGGGCCATAGCCATAAGATAGCTAACATCAAAATGGAAATAAACACGTTTCCGCACCATTATTTCAACGGTTTCCTTTTTGTTTCTCAACAAATTGTCGTGGGATAGGACTTTTTAAATGCTTAAATTAATTAGAAAATCTATTAAAGTACCTCAAATATTGTTCTCAGTGCTCTACCACGCAACTGGCACGTGCACTGAATTTCCAAACAAGTCGATCGGTCAGGTTGTTGCCATTGCACTTTACTTCACATCACATCACTTCCAATTGCCACTGCCCGCCTGCAGCCTGATTGATGTCCGTCTCCTTGGCTCCCGTGGCTTCTGGTTCTGATTCTGTTTCTGTGGAAATCTCGGACTCCATCCGATGACATCTGCCTTTGAGCGCTTCCGCGTGTGTCCGCGTGTCGCTCCTCTGGAGACGCCGCTCGACGCGTGCTCGCGCCTTATCGGGCGCTAACCTGTCCATATCGGAGCAGCTGCCTCATAGCCCCACGTACAGTGGGGGCATCTGCTGGCTAAGCCGGCGATGGTGTGGCGCCACGGCGTGCGCCAAATTTGGCATTCGGTGAAATGTCTGCCGTCTTCTGTTGAAATACGAACAAGTGGCGTTCTTTGCTGCATTCCCCAAGGGGCGACATTAGACGACGGGACCCATGTTCTTCATAATTCATAATTTGAGGACCCCCTCCAACCCTCGACTCTCCTCTGTGCTCTTCTTGCCCCTTGGATGGCCACTTAAAATCCACAATTTATCAATTCCTTCTGGCAGGACCACGAGATGGCCGGCGATAAGCCACGACGAGCAAGGACAATCGATGCCATTGGACATGCATCATTTCGGGTACACACAAAGAAAAACTAAGAGGTACGTCATAAAGCGGGTTCTTTAATAAAAAATTAAGTTTTTAATATTCAAAAATAAACCCAAAGAGCAATATTACGGAATAAGGTTTTTTAATACTTATATTTAGTTAAAAAAGCTTGAAAAAGTCATAACTAAGCCAAAAATGCTTTAATTTACATTCGAAAAGCATTTATGTGTTTGTTTTTCCTAGGTTAACATTAAGGTTTAATTTTAAAATCAAAATTTTGTGATATTGAAAATATTTAACATTTTAACGATGCAACCCCTCATAAATTTCTCTGCGTGTAAAAAGGCCATCCAAGGATGCGACTTCCTAAGTGTGCATAAGCGAGTGGAAACGCATGAATCATCCGCTGGATGCGTGGGAACAGCCATTGTCAGCATTGTCATTGGGCTTGGCCATTAGCGCATAGCATCCATATGTCAGCGGCTTCCAGAGCCGGATAGCTTCGCCCACGTCCAATCCAGCTCAACTCAAGGGCTGCACTTTGCCTTGGGGTTGGTGGCTTGGTTTGGGGTTTTCCATTTCTTATTCCCGGATGTGGGAAACCAAAAGCTGTTGACAGAACTGGACAAATGGGGGCATTATTTATGTTATTGATACGGCAGAGTCAGGGAACGAGAGTGAGGAATATACTAAAGTGCGAAAGAGTGCGACGGCGGAGTGACAGTAATTTGTAGCATACTCTTCGGCGCTGACCCAAATGCCCCCAAAACGGGGTGGTTAGATTCATCATTAGGAGTGCTGAAAAAAAACAAAATAGAGAATAAAGCCAAGATTTAACTGTAAGTCTGCCGTTAAATTTAAGAGTATTTCTATGTGTTTAAGTTTAAATTTGAAACCAAAACACATTTTTAAATAAAGTGTTGTACCTTTTATACCCTTTCATTTCCGATCTTTCTAGTCTTATCCAGTTAACAAAATTTTGAAAATATTGTCAAAATTGACATTTTATAAGAGTTAATCATTAAAATTTCAAAAAATGCAAAAATTTAATTTTTTTAAATTTTGCAGATTATTATTCTAATAATAACTACATAGGAAAGGTTGCCGAATTGAAATTAATGCATTTTGACTGATATGTTCTATAACTTTATTTGTAAAAAGAAATTTGAATGTAAAAATATTTATAAATATGGAATATTTGAAACTTAGTTTTAATCGATTCATTTCCATCTTAAATTAATTATTTAGCTTGCTTTTTAACTGGAACACTTATCTTGTAAACTATTCTCCCTAGACCCACCTGGGTATACTTAATTTAAGGGTTACTACGTTAAGTATACGCCATGTATGGTAGATGTCGCTTTAATCGATGATTTTTTTATACCCTTGAAGGTAAATTTAAGCTTGAAACGATTTGAAGATTTATTTCGACTCTATAAAAATTGTTTAAAATCGTTAAAATTGTCAAGATTTGTAAAAATTTTAATTTTGTTAAATTCTAATTATTTATATAGCTAATAGAAACTAACACAAAACAGCTTTCCGATTGAATTTTCACTGCAAGGGTTAAATATAACTTTCTTTCTTGTTTTTGTTTATCAAATTTAATTATTTTCTTTAAATTATTAAATTATCATTGCTTTGCAGTTAATGAACTTTTTATTCATTGCTATTGACACGCTCAGATGATTTCTACGATTTTTATTAGTATGTTCCCTAATTTGTTAATTAACTTTTTTAGCATAGCTTTATTTAAGTTACGCTCCAGTTGTTAATAATTAAACCAATTTTTGAAGAAGTTATTTATTATGATTTAAGCAAAAAAAACTCAACTGAGCATGATCCAAGAAAGATGTAATGATTAATGAATCTTTTCCTAATTTTAGAATTTTATAAATTACCTAATAAATCTCTTTAAAATTAGTTAACTATGTAAATATTTGGGGAATAAATGTAATTACTCCTTCTCTACCAATTGAGTTAATTAAGTCGTCTTGGCCAGAGTTAATAAGCCATGCAAGTTAGTTATTAATCGCTGACACCACCCCCGCCCCAATCCCCAATCCCCAGCCCAGCCGGAGCT